GGGACTTGGTGACTTATCTTTTGATTGCTCAGAGGCTGTTTTCTCTTCTGGTTTTCAGATACTTGAAACCACTCTGTCACCTGGGTGGTATGTACTTTGGTCACGGGTTCAGGGGCCAAGCACAGGGTAGGCATGGCCTTCTCTTTGCTTCTCAGAAACAACTCCTCCAAATAGCAGGAGGAACCAGGCTCCTCCCCAATATCAGGGCAATTCTGACATCATTTAAACCAAGTCTGGAAAATCCCCTACTGCTTCCCCTTTGCAAAACAACGCAACTGTAAATACCACCCACAAGTATTACTGTATTACCCTTTTAATTTCTGAAGTTTATCGATACCTGCTTTTTATGTAAAATGTAGTAGTGATACCCATATTTCTGCACTGTGATACGCTTGTCTAGGGATGCCTGGAAATGTATAAAACTGGACTACATTTCTTAGAGTTAAGTGTTTTATCCATAGATCAATTTTATGTGCCATCTCTTCCTCAGATGTAAATGATATCTAGATAAGAGTCATATGGAATAAAGTGGACATTTTAAAACTTAAAAGAAAATAGCTTGGCCATCCACAACTAAACCTTTTGTGAAGGGGCACTGCTGGCCTCTGATCGCTGATGCTCCGTCCCTCTCCACACCTCCCCACAAGCTAGGAGGCATCTTTGGAAAGTACGATATGGGTGCCTGGGCTTCCAGTTCCCTCCAGGGAGCGTCCTGAGCTAAGGGATGGTGCATGGCGGTGGGGTTCTAAGTGCTTGCTTGTTTGGAGTGTTGAAGCAAAAATACAGATTCTGGGCTCTCCTCTTACGGAAAACTGTGGGTGACAGGAAGTTGTGAAATGGAGGAAAGATGTCAGCCCAGGAAACATCTAATGGCTGTAGAGGACGAGCCCTGGTTGGTGCCGCCCCTAGTGTGAGAGGCTTGGCAGGGCTCTCTCTGCCCTGTCCAGGCAGAAGCTGGAACGGGGGGCCCCCAACCTTCAGGGTAGGCTGACCTCACTAGAGCTTGTTCCTGCCAGTTTGAAGGCAACTCCTTCTTAGCCAAATGCCCAGGGGTGGTGGCCATGAACCCACAGCACAGCCCTGGGTAACAGGAATCGTGCAGGGCGTGAACTGCAACCCTCAGCCATGTCAAAGCCCAAAATGCACTCAGATGGGAGAGCTATGGGAACCTGAGCAAAAGGCCCCCCAACTCCCAAGTTCAGGGCCTGCCCTTCCTCTCTCTCTCTCTTTTATTATGGTAAAACATACACAATATCACATTTACCATTTTAACCATGTGTAAGTGTACAGTTCAGTGGCATTAAGTACATTCACATTGTTGTGCAGCCATCACCACCATCCATCTCCAGACCTTTTCATCTTCCCAAACTGAAGCTCTGTACCCTTTATATAATAAAGGAAATGTACCCCATTTCCCCCTTTCCACAGCCCCTGGTAACCTTTTCCACTTTCTGTCTCCATGAATTTGCCTATTCTGGCTACCTCATATAAGTAGAATCACACAATATTTGTCCTTTTGTGACTAGCTTATTTCACTCAGCACAATGTTTTCAAGGTTCATCCATGTCATAACATACAGAATTTCCTTTCTTTTAAGGTGAATAACATTCTATTGTATGTACAGACTACATTTTGTTTATCCATGCATCTGTTGATGGACGCAGGTTGTTACTACCTTTTGGTTATTGTGAATAATGCTGCTATGAGCATGGGTGCACAAATATCCCAAAAGCAGGACTGTTTGAGTCCCTGCTTTCAATTCTTTGGGGCATACATCTAGGATTGCAATTGCTAGATCATATGGTAATTCTACATTTAATTTTTTGAGGATCTGCCAAACTGTTTTTCACAGTGGCTGTACCATTGTACATTTATACCAGCAGTGCACAAAGGTTCCAGTTTCTCCACAGCCTCATTAATACCTGCTATTTTTTAAACATAATATCCATCTGAATGGGTGTGAAGCAGTGTTTCATTATGGTTTTGATTTGGATTTCCCTAATGACTAATAACATTGAGCATCTTTTTATGTACTTATTGGCTATTTGCATATCTTCTTTGGAGAAATGTCTACTCAAGTTCTTTGCCCATTTTTTTAAAATTGACTTGTTTTATTATTGTTGAGTTGTAGGAGTTCTTTATATATTCTGAATATTAAGCCCTTATCAGACATATAATTTGCAAATATTCTCTCCCATACTGTGGGTTGTAGTTCTACTCTCTTAATAATGGCATTTGATGCACAAAAATGTTTAATTTCGATGAAGTCCAATTTATTTTTCTTTTGTTGCCTGTGCTTTTGGTGTTATATCCAAAAAATCATTGCCAAATCCAACATTGATTTGCATTATATCCACTGCTAACCCAATGGAGATTTTCCTCTATATTTTCTTCTAAGAGTTTTATAGTTTTAGCACTTAAGTTTAGATCTTTGGTTCATTTTGAGTTAATTTTTATATATGGTATAAGGTTAGGGTCCAGCTTCATTTTTCTTTTTTTTTTTTTTTGCATTTACATTCAATCACAAAACTGGATATCCAGTTTTCCCAGAACCATTTGTTTAAAAAGTGTTTTTTTCCCCATTGAATGTCTCGGCACTCTTGTCAAAATTCAATTGAATATATATATATATATTATATATATTTGTGAGGGCTCGGCCTTTCTTTTTAGCACTGCCACTTACCCTTCTCTTTCTGTCAGCACTTCAGCAATGTGACTTCCCCAAAGGGCTGACAGCTGCCCACCCCCACATTCTCCAACCAGATCATTACTGCCCCCAGGTGATAGCCCCAAAACTGCTGGTGCACCATTCAAAGTCGGCACAGATCAACATAATTCCCTCTGTTCTCCCACACGTGTTCCCACTCCTGTTTTCCCAATCTCAGTTCCCACACCAGCCATACAAGGGGAAACCGTAATGTTTTCTCAGCTCTAGTCCCCCTCATTCACACATCACGTGTAACCACCATCCCCCAAATACAGACTGAAAAGGTCAAGGCCATGAAGTGCTCTTCATCTGATTTTTTCCCTTAAATCTATCTTCTCCCTTCCATCCTCCCACCACCTCAGTCCAGTCTCTCTCTCATCATTTCCCACCCTAACCCCACTTCCCTGACCCTAGGTCCACCCAGTTCCAGCCCAACTTCCCCAGTGCCTCCGTGGTGATTGTGTAATACGCCAATCTGACTCTGTCGCTGCTGCTAGTCCCGAAGTGATCCACTTCATTTCTCACTCTTTTGCACATTACTTTCGTCTTGTCAGGAAAGTCCTTACTCTTGTGGTCCACATTATTGTTCCAAAGCAGCTCACAATGTCACCTCCTTTGTGACAATTCTGGATTATCTCCCAGGGCCGTATGAAGCAGAACTAGTCATTCCTTCCTAGGTGTTGTGTTGTGCATTCTTTGTAGTTTATTACTAAAAACAACAGCAACAGTAATAACTGATGCTACCACCACCATCACTGTCTCCACAACCATTTCTTGCAGGCCTCTCATGTTCCAACACTGTGGGCGACACCTGTAGAACACTTATCACAGTAAAACCATATTCTTTTGTTCTCTTGTCCATTTCTTCCCCTAGACAGTGAGAGATTTGAGGACAGGGACTGCCCTCCATTCATCTTTGCAGCCCCAGCACAGTATCTGGCACCCAGCAGGTGCTAACACACAGTTCCTAAATAAAGGAATAACTTCAAGCTCCTACTTTAAAGTTTTGCAGCCCTTGGAAAATTCCGCAGTTTGGACAGCTGCTCATGTCCTCTGTGCAAATAGGCAGTTTATCAATCCAAAGGTTGGCAGCAGATCTGCTGAGCCGAACTCAGTCCTCAGGCTTTTTCCCAGAGCCGTCCCTGTACTCAAGTGGAAGCCACATCTGACGCTCTAGATAGGAGCTTCTGCCAGGGAACCAGGAAAGGTTCCATGCAGCCCTACCATTTCTAACGCTATTTTCAAAGCAAATTCAGAAGCAATGGTGATGTTTTTCTTTTTGCCCTTAAGAATAAGATAACTCTTGACATAACAAAGTTAAAAAAGAAAGGAAAGCCTCGTCCGGCTTTTCCTTTCAGCTGAATTGGAAAAAAAATCCCCAATCTTCCAGTTCCAGCTGGCAGACCCCTGGATGCTCAGCTTCCGATAAGAAGGGGAGTGGAAAGACCAGCCCTCAGCAGCTGAGAACTTATTTTTGGCTGAACAGCTGGTGGAGGAATTGCTGGCGCCAGGCAGCGTCTCCCCCACACAGCGTGCAGGGGCACCACCATGATCTGGGCAGAGCACCCCTGTCCAGACCTGGGCGCCCGCTCTTACATTGACCATCACACGTCTGAGCGTCTTGGGGCCAAGGCAATCCCAGTGGTCAAGGACCTTCTGAGGGACCCTTCCAGGAGCAAGGGTGTGTTCAGCCCTGCCGAACAGAAGACTCCAGGGGAACCTCATTGCTGCCCTTAAAGGAGAAGATCTGTCCTGCCCTAAGCCTGAGACCAGGCCCAGTGAGTGGAATTACCTAGAGGCAGAATTTAGCCATTTCATCCTAATGAAAAACTCCTCTCATTAGAGGTCTCTGATGGTGGATGGGTTGCTCCAGAGCTGTTCAAAAAGAGGCCGACTGACTGACCGTTTGCCAGGAATGTTATCAGAGGGATCTCTGGATGGAGTGAAAAGAACTTAGCTTCTTAACGTTGGGAAGGCCACTGGAGACCAGCTGGGAGTCGATGAAAGCTACAACTGGATAGTGAATGCCAAAATTTTCATAGGCTCTAAGGTGGATTTTTACAGTAAATTACAAATTTGTTGATTTGCTCTGATTAAAGCCACAGAGTGAGTGCCAATCCTCTTTACTTTGTACTGAATCCACACACTACCTTTTAAGTGTTGATATTCTAACCCAAGTTCAAGGCTTTCCACATTAACACAAGAGAGAATAGAGGGCCTCTACCCACTTCTGTTCTTTACCAAGCTGTTATAATGGGCTCGGCTCTTTACTTCTGCTTTTTTGTTTTTTTAGGAATTTAGAACAACAAGAATAAAAAGTCCTGAAGACTATGAGAACACAGAATGTTCTCCAAAGAAAGCGTCTGCGTTTATATTCAATCCAGATATCCAGTACTCCAAAAACACCTTCGTATTCAATGTGGATTATTTTTAAATGGAAATCTAAAGCAAGGGAACATGACGTTGGTAAAAGAAAAAGTAATTTTCAGAGCCTTTCAATTCAAACTCAGAGATGACGATCTATTATGTGCCCGGCCCTACCTTAGATGAAGACATGCAAAAGATGTGGCCCCCTGCCCTCCGGGGCCCTCTGATCAGCACATTGACGCTTGGCACAGCAGTGCCCCCAGAGAAGCACGGAGCACATGCTCCAGGGTGCTCACACCAGTGCTCTGCTCACACTGGGCTGTTCTCACCTCTCCCCACACCAGCCCCACGGGCTCTCTGCAGGTCAACATGTTTGTCCCCTGGCTGCTTTTATTTCAAATGAGCGCAATCCAAGCCAACATGTGTGAAATTCCCACAAAGTACCAGGGTCAATGTCAGAGCGTTAGAGAAGTAGCTGTCCATTTGTTTATTGATGCCTCAGCCTTATTCCCCTAGCAGTAGAGGTGGCTTACAAAGATAAAACAAGACCAGGGAAAACACATATTCTAGGGGACAAGGGTAGAACAAACACAGACAGGCAGGTCACAAAGTCCTTTGTAGTTGTTAAAACAGAACCACAAATTTGACTCCACAGATGAACAGGACATAGTCTCCAAGCTGTCTGGGGATGGAGAGCAACCCTTATACCAATTAATGGAGTATAAAAGCATAGAAGCTGGCACACAGTGGATGTTCTAAACATTCACTGTTTAGATGCTGACTGGGGATCAGCACACAAGAATTCATGCCTTGAAGCATGGATATCCACTTGAATAACTTTGGCTGGGAGGGTCAGGGAAGGCTTTACCCGAGAGGTCTTATCTAAATTAGGCTACTTTGGTGGGGAGATTGGCAACTATCGCCAAGCCAGTAATCACTGCTGCCACTGACAGTAGAGAGAAATACAAAGAAAAATGTCTCACAATTCCTCAAGCAATGGTGGCCCCTGCTAAACAGGGCAGGCTGACAGCACAGGGGCTGAAACCTCGGTTTTGGGGCCATATCCCAGATCCTCAATTTCCTTTGGCTTAGGCAATTTCATTCACTTAACCTTGTGGTTCTAAGTGGAGGTATTGGTCCTGAAACACTTCTAATGGCATTTCCTTTGAGTAAAGAGACAAGGTCATTCAACAGTCAAAAATATGTCCTCCTACAAAGTTCTCACCCCAAAATTACCTTCAACCCATACCTGAAGAAGTCTTTATACTCTAGGGAATCTGAAATGACCTATAATCGTTCCCCAAAGGATTAACAGCCAGGACACTTTCAGGGGATCACAATGTAAGTTCTCAATGCATAATCTTCAAACACTAATCCCATTTTTCACTAGAACACTTATCTGGTTTTCCTCCAAATAGTATTTTAATGACACAGCCTCTTATCACACTAAAAGCTCCAAATATAGGAAGATGAGAAGTTACTGAAGTGCTCCATCTTCTTCCACTGAAATGCTGCATCTTCTTTCATAGCCCTTGCTACTCAATGCGCAAAGAAAAGGGGGTAAGGAGGGGAGAGGACTTCAAAGGTGAAGAAAATGATGCGTCCGAAGAATAGCAGCACTGGCTACGTGTGTGAATGTTTCTTCCTGGAGGCCTGGCACTTGTACCAAGCACAGAGACCATCAATAACAACACCTGCTTGTCCCTGTAATCCAACTGGCCACTGGTACCAGTTAGCGAGTGAATGGGAAAAAAACAACATCCTGAAGGAAAAGAAGGGGTGTGTGTGTGTGTGTGTGTGTGTGTGTGTGTGTGTGTGTGTGTGTGTGTAGGGGTGTTCAGGCCTGGAAGAAGAGAGATGCTAGCCTGAGAGATGAAAGGTTGTAGCTAAGGGTGCGCACACACACACACACACACACACACACACACACACACACACGGCCCACTTGAGCTTGAACTCCTCACCTTGGAGGGCCTTGTGAAGATCGACAGAAACAGGAATCTCTGTGAAAGGTCAACTCTGATTTCAGCTTTTGAAGAGAAAGGGGCTGTGTCCTTAGGAGTGCCACTTTATATTTTTACTAAAGATATGTGCCTCTGAGACTCACAGAAGATAGGTCATCTATAACGGCAAGGACTTGAGCACTTTTCAGGGACGCAGGGCAAAAAGAAGTTGAAAAACTCTCTCAGAAGTAGACGAATGCATTTTCCCTGGATCGGAGAGCCAGGGTGGACCCAGGGTCAGCAGACATTCAGACATTCTCAACAGTTCACTATAAATGGAGGGGCAGTGACAAGGAGCCTTCTCACCACGAGCTGAGATGACTCGTTCATGCTCTGCCAAGATTCCTGCGATAGCTTCTATAATGGCCTTAGCTTCTAGTACCTACGTCCTCTGCTCCATTCAGCTCACCACTGTTAAAATGATTTTTCTAAAACACATCCATGGTTATGCAATCCCTGCTCAAAATTATGGCTAAACGCTTCCTCCACATTTTGGTCTCAGCCAAACTCTGCAGTCCTAATCCCTCTACCCTCTACTTCTTTCTACACGCATCCTGTGGTTCTGCCCTGACGAACACATTGTCATCCAGAATCACACTTGCATAGGTTAGTCCTTCTACCTGGAATGTATTCCCTCTCCCCTACCCACCACAGTCCTTTGTAAACACGCGTGCATGTGTGGGCAGACACACACACACACACACACACACACACACACACTCTGCTTAAAAATCCTGCTCGTCTTTCACGGCATACTCCTCACTAAGAACATCCTCTGGAAAGCATTCCTGGCTTCCCCAGGTCAGAATTCAATGCTCCCTCATGTGTGTTCCTAGAGCATCCTGTTGTCACATTTATCACAGTGTTCTAGAGGGCTGCGTGTATGTTGGTGCTGCCACTGGACTGTAAGCCAACTTGGAGGCAGAGACTGAGCTGAAATCACTTTTATTGGCTCCACCACATCCCGGGGCTTAAGACAGTGTCTTAAATACGGTAGATACTCGGTTCGTGTAATGATTGAATGGTATATATAAATGCAGATATTACTGACTTATAACCAGTAAGAAGTATGGACAATATTGAAATAAATCTGGATCCAATTCAGATAAATAACCCACTATGATATAAGGTAGACACTGGACAAGCCCATTCACATGTGTACCTCTCGGTACAAATTATTTAGAAAGTAACTGATGCTATTCGCTAGAGCAGACTGGAAAGGAAGTGCTCCTAGTTCATTATCAAGAGCAGTGAGAGGTGTGGAAAATGATGGAAAACAACCTGTTTGTGGAATTGGCTGTCTCTCCTAGCAGCTGTGTGACTTGGGGTAAGTTCCACAACTTTCTGAGCCTTGGTTTCCTCATCTATAAAATGGATGTGAGAATTCTGCCAATCTAACATGGCTGCTCAGAGACTCGATGAGGTGATACACAAGAAAGAAATTTCAGAACTAAAAATGTGTTACTCTGCTCAAATGAGAAAACTTACATAATTAGTTTTGTAAGTCTTACTGTGATAAGCACATTTTTATAGTTAATATAAGGTTAATCCTCCTCTTTTTTGGACTGTATAAAGAAGGGGTAGGATGGGAAGCGTGGCGAGCTGTCTTTATGGCTTAACGCCCCTCTGTTGGTAAAGGGTCTGACACTTTGGGATAACTTCTTCAAAAACAAAAACTATTATCTTTCAGGGCCACAGGGCTATGGTTGCCAAAATACAGATACACAGTGTTATCATTTTTTCCTCTACAATAAAAAACATGGAATGGCCTCTTCTGGTCAACGAGACAAACTCATCACAACCAGGAAGATGAAGAAACTGGTAAAATATTTAAATGTGATTAGAAACATACAAGACGCAGATGCCACTAGCTAATAGTTCCCATCAACTCCCTAGAAAGCCAGTGCCAACCCTGGACGTGTTGTCTTCGGGTCTGTCCCATCTGCCGTTCACTTTGTCACCGATCACAGAAAACTTACACGACACAAGGCCTGTGGGCTGGCTATGTGGCCATGCATATATTACGCTGTCTGCAGACACATGGCATCTTCATGCCAGCCCTACACATGTAAACACAGGAAACCTGCACAGTGGCCATGTAGAAGAGCACACATGATGCCCAGGCACCAGTCCCAAAACTCTCGATTCCATACCTGCACACATTCACCTGTTGGCCACGTCACTGCACATGCACGCCACCCACATGCTGACTGCACAACTAGAGATTCCTGCTGCCTGTGCGCAGGTAATAAACTATACAGGACAGCAGCATGCCAGACAGCCCTGAATATGTATAGTTCCCCGTGCTGTAACCAAATGTGCAGAATGTTTCCATATGCATTCTGTGTATATATAACTGTAACTTCTCTGTCTGTACGACGGCCAAGTAGCTGTACATCTGGAATACGTAGGTGCTGGTTACCACACTGTGTTCATACAGCACCCAGGAGTGCATCGTGTCACACGGTGACCAAGGCCAGGCGTGGAATTATTGTGCCAATTCTCTTTTGCAAGATGTCATCCTTTTGCCTAGAACACAAGGCCCATTTTCACTAAAAGCCAAGAAAAGCCTCTGAGCTATACCACAGGATTTGCTGTAATAACTTTGTATTCAAGTCTGAAAACTCCATTATGGCAAGTTCAATGGAAAAATAACACAGAAAAATGTGTCCAACGCATGGCAAAGAAACAAACATCAAGCTGGTGTTGTATCCACTCTAAAAGCAGAAGGGGTCTTGAGTCCTCTTCCCACGATGGGGATAGGGGTGGGGTGGGGAGGGGAGGCTCAGAGGAGCCATGAGCTGCTGAGGTCGGTTCTGTTTTCCCTGTGTAACTCAGAGCACAGGAATTGCAGAACATTTGTCTAGTGTGGGGATGCTCCTATGAGGTCAGCTAGTTCAACCCTCCAATATCATGGATGAAAAAACTGAGGGCCAAGGGACAAAGTGATGGCTGCGGGCGACACTGCTGATTAGAGGATGAAGTGTATTCACAGTGACATACTTAGCCACCAGATTAATTTTTAATTACAGAATATACTTGGCGACTGAGCACATTTACTGATAACAAAAAGAGCATCAAGACAAGATCCAGAGAGAGGGAAGAAGTGGAAG